GTCCTGCCTCAGCCTCCCAAGTGCTGGGATGACAGGCGTGCACCGCCACACCGGGCTTCAAGACTTGTTTTAAAAAGACATTTGAAAGAACAGAACCCGGATTAAAGATCGACAGGCCTTTGGGAAGCTGCAGCCGCAGGAGCGAGAGTTTGAGGCCCCGGCTGGACAGTGTCAGAACTGCTGGGCTTTCTCCAACATGTAAGACTCCCCGTGACAAAAGATACCACACAGGTTAAAAAAGACTGGGAAGAGGCACAGCATGCAAATCAGAGTATTCACCAAAATGCATCACCTACAAATTCCAGTAGGAGCTGGATGTGGTGGTGCACATCTGTGATACCGGCTGTGGGAGGCTGAGGCAGGAGGATCCTGAGTTTTAGCCCAGCCCAGGCAATTTTATGACTTAGCAGGATCCAGAGCTGGGGATGTAACTTCGTGCATCCGCCTAACCCCAGTTACAGTAGGAAAATGAGCACATGTTCAGAAGATACTTTACAGAATGTCTGGCTGATAGGTAGTCTGAGGGTTGTCACTCACTTCCATAAGATTGGGACAGGAAGTCTGACGTCACCAGGCCCAGCAAGGGTGCGTGGGGCAGGAGCCTTCACCTGGCTTGGAGACTGACTGGACAGCCCCTTCTGGTCCGTATTCTCCTGGCACTGGAGGTGGAGCCCAGGGTCTTCACACTGAGCTGTATCTTGAGCTCTTTGGGTTTTTTCCCCTAATTTTGAGAACTGGTCTCACTGTTTTCCAGGCTGGGTTCAAAACTGTAGTCCTCCTGCCTCAGCCTCTGCCTGCTTAGATTATTGGCATGCATCACCATGCTGGCCAGTTTGGCAGTTTCAAGTAAAATTGAAACTCTTAATGCTGTGCAACACACAGTTTTCACATCTAGATCTGTACACCCTAGAAATCTGCACATGAGCAGAAGAGGTCCAGGAGCTGGTACAGCGGCGCCTCTAGGAGGCTGAGGCTGGAGGATCCTGTGTTGAAGTCCAGTCTGACTAACTGGGTGACTCAGTGAGACCCAGTCTCAGAATTTTAAAAGACGGCTGGGGCTTTGACTCAGTGGGAAGCCCTTAGATTCCATACGCCTCACTGAGTACTGAAAGTACATAAACAGTGTTGTAAGGACTTAGGTATGGTACTTCTTTCAGAGGCATAGTTGGTAGCAAAAAAAAAAACGGTAAAATAAAAACAACCAAAGTTATGATTAACTTTCATAAAGCATTTGAAGGAGTAAAACATTTCCTATATGACAGGGAACTTTTTACTTTTGATTGTGTTTTTGTGGTTTTTTTGTTTGTTTTTGCTTTTCAGTTTGGAGTCTCACTATGTAGTTGTTCAGGCTGACCTTGAACTTACACTGTAGCTCAGTATGGCCTTGAACTCACTACGGTTCTCCTGCCTCAGCCTCAGCAGTGCTGGGATGATAAGCATGTGCCACCATGTCCAGATAGTTTTGCTTGTTGATGTTTTTAAGACCTAATGAGATAATTGACAATGGGAATAGGAAGAAAAGGGCTAAAGGTGTAGGGAAAGTGGGAAGGGTAGGGGAAAGGTAATAAGGGAAAAGAAAAAAATAAGAGAAAATGGAAATAAAGTATTTGTAAACAGGGAGGGGAGGAGGGGGTGAAGGGAGGGCAGGGACAAAGGGAAAAATGAAAACCAAGACCTGTCATGTAAAGGTACAAAGTCCCAATGATGAATGTAACTGTACTGTATACCTAAAATGTACCAATAAACTCAATTAAAAAAAAAAAAAACAGGGTCTTGCCATGTGATTGAGGCTGGCAGGAGGCTGAGGCAGGATGACCTCCTGAGTTCAAGACCAGCCTAAACTACTGGAAGCCAGCCTGGGCTACATAGAAAGAATCAGTCCCCAACTCCCCCCCAAAAGTCAGCAAAATGATAATACACTGTCTGGTTGTAAATAAAACGTCTGAGGTGATTGAAGCATGGGTTTGGAGTTTAAAGGATCCTGAGCTGCGGTGCCGGTTCTGCCAGCTGCCAGCCTCATGGCCATAGCTGGTCTCCTTCTTGGAGTGCCGCAGTGCAGGGTACCAGGGTGAGGGCTGACCTCCCTGCTGTAGGCGTGACTCAGTCTGCACTTCTGTGTCAGGCGCTGTCACCCTCCTGGCCCAAGCACCAGGGCCGCATCCTGCTGCTCTGCCTCCCCACTGACAACTGCCGGGTGCGGGACCTCGGGGCCTGCGGCCTGGCTTCCCCGTGGGCCCCGGAGGAGCTGGCACCATTTGGGCCTCACCATGGGGTTGTTTCATAAATATTGATTTGCATTTAATCGAATAAAGTTGCATGAGTGAGTTTCTTAGTGCTGGCCGTGGAACCCAGGGCCGCGCTTTTGCAGCCAGAAAGCTGACGAGCGTGGGTGCTTCCTGCACGCCTGATCTGGAGACTCGTGTGTCTGATCCTTGTAGGGTGCAGCTGGCAGAGGCTCTTCATAAGTGCATTTGGTGTGATGACCACATAGCTCCAAGTGCAGATACTTGGGGCCGGGTGATGGCGCCTCCCTGTAATCCCAGCACTCAGGAGGCTGAGGCAGGAGAATCATGCCAGGTTGAGGCCAGCCTGAATCACACAGTGAAACCCTGTCTCAAAACACCAGGAAAAAAAAGTGGAAATTTTTGATCAGGCAAGGGTCCTGTAGATACTGCCAGCAAATGGCATGGTCTCTTCATTTTGAAATGGTTTCATTATGCAGTCCATCCTGGCCTCAAACTCACAGAGGTCTTCCTGCCTCAGCCTCCTGAGTGCTGGGATTACAGGGGTGTGCCACCATGCCTACTGTAAATGGCAAGACTTGTATAAAAATAACATTTGACTTTTTCTTGTTATACGTTGGTACATGAACACTTAAAAATTTAGAAAGTACAGAACAGTTCCCTGGCTGTGACCTTTTCATAGTTTTGTGAATTCAAATCTGTTAGAATTAAACAAGTGAATACATCGGGCTTTAACTTTCTTTTTAACAAACTCGAATCTGTTGGCCCCAGTTTGGACTCCGCTCTGCCCTTCGCCTGTTCAGAGGCCTGAGTACGGCCCGGCCTTGCTGCATTTCCCTCACAGGCACAGCCAGTTCTTGGAAAGCGCAGAAAACTAGGGGTTGTGATACCTTTGTGATCGTTTTACACATTTGTCCAAAACCGTATTTCGTGGTGGGAGAGCATCATTGGGGTGACGTGCAGGGGTTAGGGGAAATCGTCCAGGGACGCTGTTACTGCGAATAGAAACTGCTGTAAGGTCCCAGCGGAGATGTGTTTTGAAAAAACAACTAGAAAGGAAGCAAACAACTCGAAAGCGTGCGTTGGGGGCTCCGTGCGTATGACGAGTACCTGGGGCTCTTGTACTGCAGAGCAGCTGCACAGGGGCCCTGTGACTCCGCAGGCCGAGGTCCTCACTGTAGGTGTGGCCAGAAGGGCCCCTCCGGCCGGCCTGCCTTGCGGAGTGGTAGGAGTCCCTGCCCCGAGGACCCAGGATCCCAGACCGGCGTCCTGCGTTCGCAGTTGTGGGGCCATGGCTGCCTGTCGGGGCTGCGCCTTCTTCCCGGCCTCCTGTGGCCCTGCTCAGGCTGCCAGGCCTGTGTGGAAGGCGCAGTTCTCCAGCCTCGGCGGTGGCGGTGGCGGTGGCAGCGGCAGCGGTGGTGGTGGCCGGGTGCTGTCCCGTGGAGAGAGCCCTGCTTCCCCCGCTTGCCGTTCTTACCGGGGAGGAAGGGCCTGGAGAGCTGGCTCTGGGGTTTTTCCATTGTGCAGCTCCCTGAGGCCCCATCCTCCGACTTCCTGGCTGGCTCTGCTCCCTGCTCACTGTGGGAGCTGAGCTTTGCTCCAGGCCGCTCTGCTGCACTGGGAAGCCAGGCCCAGCACACAGGCTTTCAGCCCGCAGCTCCAGTGCTCCCTGGTGTTGGCCACGAAGAGAATTCTCAGGGGCCAGAGAAAGGGAAGATGAGAGTGGAGACCCAGCCGTCAAAGGCAGGGAGGCCAGAGCTGCCCTGAGGCTTCGGAGCAGCTGGGGGAGGGATCTGGGGGAGGGATCTGGGGGAGGGATGGGCGGCCTCAGCAGTGGAGTGTGCCAGAGCTCAGAGGGGAGCTGGGTGGGGAATGTGGTGAGCTTGTTCTGGTTACAGGTCTGACCCAAAGCCTTCTTTTTTAAAAATTCTTTTATTCTTCTCTTTATTTTTTAAATGTTTTTTGAGGGAGGGTTTTGCTATATAGTTCAGGGTGATCTTAAACTCACTGTGTAGCCCAGGCTCCTCGCATTCATGGAGACCCTCCTGCCTCAGCTTTCCGAGTGAGCCATCACACTCAGTTCATAGCCTTTTTTTTTGAGACAGGGTCTCACTACGTAGTTGAGACTGACATGGAACTCACTATGTAGCCCAGGCTGGTCTCGAACTCACAGCGATCCTCCTGCCTCAGCCTGCCGAGTGCTGGGATGACAGGCGTGTGCCACCACGCCCAGCTCAGCCTTTCTTTACAGGTCTTTGGTGTTTGTGTTTGAGATACCTCTGATATTTTGGAGATTCCACATTTAGAAATAAATTATACTTGCACAGACTTACTGAAAGCGTTGCAGTTTAGGGAAATAGTTCTCGGTCATTTTTCCAGAGCGGCAGTGCTGGCGTCCCTGTGCTGCAGTTTCACCAGCGCTCGGGTTTCCCCACCTTAGTAGAGCCTGAGCCATTTGACTTTTGCACGAGGCTTTGTTCCCTGAAAACCCTCTCCTTCTATACCATTTTCAGGCACAGTGAGCCTTTGCAAGGAAGTCACAGGTGCCGTGGGCTGCCCTTGTGGCTGTGTGAGTGAGTTGAGTGTATCTGCAGCCCTCCAGCGCCCCCTGCCCTGCTGGACGCTGCCCTGTGAGAGAGAGAGAGAGAGAGAGAGAGAGAGAGAGAGAGGGAGTGTGTGTGTGTGTGTGTGTGTGTGTGTGTGTGGCGGACACAGGGAGGGGGGACGGGACGGGACAGGAGCCGCGCCGTCCTGGTTCCTCCCTAGACCATGGGGGAAGCCGGTGCCGTGGCTTTCCGGCCTGGGGAGTCGTCACGTCTCGTGTCTCGTACGCTGACCCCACCGCTGCTCATCTCTAGGACGACGTGAGGCACAAGGTTCACCTGAACACCTTCGGCTTCTTCAAGGACGGCTTCATGCGGGTGAACGTCACCAGCCTCTCCATGCACGACCCCGCGGGGGCCGCCGACAAGGACGCCGCTGTGAGTGTGTCCCCGAGGACCGAATGGGGAGAAGGCAGCAGCTGCTCCTCCTCCTTTTCTTTTTGTTTTTGGGTTTTGGTTTCTCGAGAGAAAGTCTTGCTTCATAGCCCAGCCTGGCCCTAAACTTGCGGCGATCGCTCCTCTCGCCTCAGCCTCCGGAGTGCTGGGGTTATAGGCGTGCGCTGCCAGGCCTGGCTTTTTATTTTCAAGTTGGTTTGCTTTCAGCACAAGTTGTAATTGTTGGATAAATCTCATAATTGGCGATTTTACGTGAGCAGCGTTGCCTTATACAAAATGAACGGAGGGAGCGCGGGAGGAAGCCAGGCCGCGGCGCTCTGTGCTCGCTGATGAGCCAGGCCGAACGGCCATGGATGTTGACCCCCCTTTCCCTGCCCCAGATCGGGTTCAGCCTGGACCGCACGAAGAATGATGGCTTTTCCTCCTACCTGGTGAGTGTCCGGCCGGTGCCCTGGGGCCCAGGCTGCAGCCTCGAGCGCGAGCCGGGTGCTGAGCGACCCGTGCTCCTTCTCAGGGTGAAGACGTGAACTACTGCATCTTGAGGAAGCAGTCTGTGTCTGTCACTCTCCTGATCCTAGACATCTCCAGAAGTGAGTAAGTAACTCCCTCGTCCCTTCCGTACCGGCTGAGAGCACAGACGGCGCCGCGTGGGCCGGGGTCCTGTCCCTGTCCCTGTCCCTGTCCCGTCCCCAGGAGCCTGAGGCAGGGTCGGCCCTGCTGGGCTCCCTCAGGGCTCCCCTCCCTGCCCAGCAGAGGCCCAGCGCAGACCCTGGGGAGGGTTCACGGCCACAGCCTCTGGACCCGGTGGCAGAGGAACGGGGACCTGCTGTTCTCGGGTTCTGGCGCACCCCCACCTCACGGGGTTCGGAGGCGTCTTTGAAGGTGTTGGAGGAGCTGGGGCCGCGTGCAGAAGCAGGGCTGGGCGGGCCAGCGGGGGACCCGTTCGAACCAGGAGAGCTGCCCGCTCCCCACGGCGCCTCGGTTGCTGCTAAGAAAGTCGAGTCTGCCAGTCGCTGAGGTGCCTGGGCTCCGCGGTCAGCCTGGACCTCGGGACAGTAACCCCGCTGGCCGGAGGCCGGGTGGATCCACTCCCATCCCGCCTTCCCTGCGCGCTGCCGTCCCGAGTCCACTCCGGGTGGGCACTCGCAGTGCGACCGTTCCAGGGAAGGGTGCGATGGCCACCGGTGCCCGTGCAGTTGCCAAGCGAGTCGGGTGTTTGGGCAGCGTGAGTCCAGCAGTTGTGACCTCGAGGTTATTCCAGGGAATTGCCCGCCCTTCCTGGCAGCAGAGGGCCATAGCCCACAGGGCAGGTGCTCTCCACCCTGGCCCTGCCCTTCTAGAGGGGGGCAGCTCCGCCCCGTTAGGACGCCCTGGAGACCGAGGACTCAGGGCTGCCGCGGCCCCGCTGGAGCCCTGCTCTGAGCTCCTCCCCCTGTGTGGCTCCACCACAGAGTGAAAATACGGTCTCCACCGGAAGCCGGTGCCCAGCTGCCCAGGATCGTCTTCGGCAGTGGTGAGAAAGTCCCCGGGCAGAGCCCCGCATCCGAGAGCAGCGGCAACCAGACTCAGAGAGCTCAAGGTGAGCAGAGGGCACGGCTGGGTTCGGCCCTGCTTGGTGGCCGCCCCACTTCCGCGGTCTGCTGTGTCCGAATTTCATTGCGGAGGTTGCATGAAAACACGTGATCCTCGAGGAAGGGTGTGGGAAATACAGAAAAAACAGAAAACAGCGGTCGTCTCTCTCATTCCCAGCTGAATTTTAGTAATTTAGCTGTGTCCTAAGTCTAGACATTGCCCTTCGAAACTCACGGTCACGAAGGCTGGGGGCTTGGCTCAGTGGAGCCACCGCCTACTTCATAGGCGCAAGGGCCAGAGTTTGATCCCCGGCGCCAGAGCCCTCAGTCACAGTGGCTTCCCGTCCTTGCCTGTTGGCGCGTCCTGTTCCCAGGGTGCTGTAAACCTGGGGCGTGGCAGGTTTTGTTTTCCTCCTTCCTTCCGTTCCTTCTTTCTTTTCTTTGTGTCTTTCTTTCACTGGGACTTGAACTCAGGGCCTTCACACTAAGCTATATCCACATCCCTTTTTCTATTACTCACTTTGAGACTGGCTATCACTGAGTGTCCAAGTTGGGCTCGAACTTGGAATCCTCCTGCCTCAGCCTCCCAGAGTACTGAAATGACAAGGCTGTGCTACCACACCGACTTCGAATTTTTCCAACACAGAAACTTTTATATGTGTGAAGCTTTGCTTAGGATTGGTTATTTGAACTGGACTTTCTGGTTCAGAGCACAGAAATGTTTTTGAGAACGTTAAGACACTTTCGTATTCTTTTACAAATGACTTTGGTGAATTTATACTCCTATTGGAAATATGTAGAAATAGTGTACACACTGCCGTGTCCCGCTCAGTCCCGGGTATTGGCTTTTTTTAAAAGTTCTGAAATGCTGAGCGTGGTGGTTCATACTTGCAATGCCGGCTACTCAGGAGGCTGAGGCAGGAGGATTGCTTGAGCCTAGTTTAAGGCCAGCCTTAGAAGTATAACGAGTCCCTGTTTCAAAAAGAAAAGAAAAAACCCTGAAGTGAAAGGTACACAGGGTATTGTTGTTCTCGTATTGACTCTTACTCCCGGGGCTATACTGGCTTTCTTTTTTTGTGTGGCGCTGTGGGTTCGACCTGGAGTTTTCTCGCCCAGCGGCCCCGGCTGCTCATGTGCTGATTTGTATTTATTTCCTCCTCCCATTACCTGTCAGGCCCAACTGGGGATTTGTGTGAGTTCCTTAAAGATAATTTCCTGCCTGTTGCGGGATCGGTACATTTTCCCCTCTCTTGGTGAAAACGCCATCCAAGCTAACAGCACACAGGGGGCCCGTGTGTGGGGCGGTGCAGTCAGGGCTGCGTGCTGCCCCTTCTCCGGCTGTGTTGCCCACGTCCCTACCCCTGCTTCGGAGGATACTCCGCGCCCTTCCCCTTCCCGCAGAGAGCCTCAGCTCCCCTCTTCCCACCGCCCCTTCCCCTGTGTGGATCAAAGCCCAGGCCCGGCCGCCCGTGTTGACGGAGCCCTGCCCATGAGGCCATGGGTGTGGCTCGGGAGGGAGCATTTATTTGCCCAGCACGCAGCGGGCGCTGGCTCAGTCTCCAGCCCCACACGTAGAACTACCCATCACGCTGATACTGGCTCTGTCTTTCCACGTATGGAAGTAAATCTGTGAACATTTCTCTGTTTGCAAATGCGGTCACGTAGGAAGTGAGGAAACGATTCTGCAGTCTCTGCAGTCACGGGCCCGGGACCACTCGAAGCCCAGCTCCCTGCTGGTTCTCGCTGTTGCCGTTGGTTTGCTAACATCAGATGCATTTCCCTTGGCTGCTTCTGCCCTTCCGGGATTGCTGGGGCTCTGAGGGCTGGCAGCCCACCATGGTTGTTGGAACACATTCACCAGGGGCCCGTAATTCACGTCCCACTGCCAGGCGGCTCTGAGCCACCTGTGGTACAGCGTGAGGTCCCCTCGGGCGGCCTGGGACAGTCATGCATTTGTCGCCGGTGGTTCAGGCCGCAGGAACCTGTTAAGGACCTCACAGTAGACAAGCTGAGCCTCACAAGCCATCCTGTAGTGACAGCTTTTCACCTCTGCTTCCAGACGGTGGGAAGTCCGAAAGGAGCACGGGGGACGCCAAGGTACGAACTCACCAGCACTCTGCTCGGCTTTCCTGGATACGGTGTGCGCCGTGTGCACACGTGGGAGTGTTCGCAACGCTGTGCACCGCTGATCTGCCGGGAGCCAGAAGTGGCTTCACTGGGATCTGCCGGGGCAGGGGTGGAAGCAGGCAGGTGCCGCACGCTGGTGGTTTGGAGAAGGGAACTCAGGTGGGCCAGTGTCTGCCGGGACCGCGCCCTGAGCCTTGGCGGAACCAGGGGCGCACGTGTGAGTCCGCCAAGCAAAGGGCGTCCGGGCTGGCGTGGGTCCCTGGTGTGAGGCTGCTCGGGCTGCGGCGACGTGGTGAGAGGCAGTAAAGTGGGAACCAGCATTCTGATTCCGGCTGCACTGGTTCCCGCACCCCGACCAGGGGGAGCTTGCAGGGCGTGGTGGCAGAGACCTTTGCAGTAGGGGCAGATCCTCCCTTCCCAGCCGCCCAGGGACTCTGTGGGTGTTTGGAGCCGAGTGGGCTCCTCCTTGGGCCAAAGCTGGAGCAGGTGGGTGGGGAGCCAGGGAGGAGGCGCTGAGGGAGCGGGCTTTCAGACCTGGCTCGGAAGGACGGTGGTTTTCCTTTCAGAAGCAATCTTAGGGTTTTGCAAGAAGGTGGTTTTAAAGTTTAATTTTTCTTTTTTTGGTACTGGGGATCAAACTCAGGACCTTGTGCTCGCGAGGCAGGCAGCAGAACCACTGGGCTAAATCTTTGGCCCTTAAAGTTTAATTTTAATGTGTGTACTTTTCCCACTCTCCAGATTCACCCTAAACTAGTGTTATTTTTCAGGCACCGGGAGAGAAATCCTTCTCTGTTCACAGCAACGCTGGGGCGGTCTCGTTTCAGGTACGGCTTACCGGGTAAGGTTGCGTAGACTCTGTCCGCCGTGGAACCCCGAGGCTGGCTCCCTCTGTCAGCCACAGACAAGCTGGCAAGCGGCTGTGTCTGCGCTCAAGTCCCAGGTCCCCAAGTGTGGACGTCGTGCTGAGTGTCCACCTTCCAGGGCAGGTCTGCTGGCCAGTCCACGGCCCCTGCCTCGTGTCCCACACAGTCACTGTCCCGAGAGGCCTTGGGCTGAGGGCGTGGTGGTTTGGAGAGGCGCTCCCGCACCCTGACCAGCTTCGCAGCACTGCCGCGGGGACAGGCAGTGGACGCTGTAGGGCTGCAGCCTGCCAGGCGGCCCTGCACTGCCAGTGTCGTATCTCAGGAGAGCGGAGGGCCCATCTCTGAGGGCTCTGATGGGGGCGCCCTGTGCAGGTCCGTACAAGTACCGAGCACAGCCCTGCCTTTCCCGGAGGCTCATGGGCAGCAGGCTCGTGTTCCCGTCTCCGGAACCCCCGCCACACCCACTGCTGGGATTGCCTTCAGCCTGGATTATTTTGCTCCTTCCGCACTGGTTGTGTTTCGTCGCTGTCGGGAAGAAGGGCTGACAGTGAGCAGGGCTGGTGCTGCACGTTCGCCCAGTCCTGGGCAGCGTCCCATCTGTCACCGGCCTGAAGCCCACGTCGTCTCCCTGACCCCCGCTCCTGTCCCTTCCCTGCCCACTCCACTTCCACCCTCAGGCCAGCTCGCCCTTCCTGCCGTGCTCTGGCCGTGGGCCCAGCCCGGTCCTGAGTCTTTCCGGCTGGCGTGGCGTCCTGGCCCCCTGAAGCCTGCTCGCTCTGTTCCCACTGGTCCCCTCCGCCCTGCCGCTTTCTCTCTGCTCTCCTGCCTCTGAGGCTTCTCTGAAACCTTTGCCTCAGTCTCGGCCTCCCTCGGGTCTGTCTTTAGAACTAAAAATTAATGTTTACAGAGGTTTCTGTTTCTCAACCTGAGTGGACTGTACAGGCAGGAGTTTGGGGCATAGTTTAACACGAGTGATCTCCACCGATCTGAGAACAGAGCCTGTCAGTAACCATCTGGGCTCAGGAGACGGAGCAGTGCCAGCCGCTCAGAAACCCTCCCAACTCTGTGGTAACCCCGAAATGCCACGTGCCGGGGTGCTGGGGAGGCTGAGCCAGGAGGGTCCGGAGGGCAGGGCCAGGCTGCCCTGCGAGCGTAGCTGGTTCAGTCTTAGCCTGAACTTCGCCGTGAGACCCCGCCTGCCTCCGAGCACAGCAGGGCAGCCTTCACCATCGCCTCCCTGCTCTGCTCTTTAGTTTATTTATTCGTAACCCTAAACAGTGTCTTTAAGACAGATCTCTTTTTATGCCTAGAACTTTTGCTGATAGTAAAATGTTCTTAGAATTGACCGAGGAGTCATCCTGTGTTGGTGTGTGGATTATTTCAGTTTACACTAAACTTCATTTGAACCTGTGAAACATAAGACAAATGGAGAAAATGTAGCTTATGTTACTGTTGTCTAAAATCATACATGTGAATTTTGATGAGGGGATTTTGCTCTTTTTCAACAATAAGATGAGCCTCCTTTCTTCTTGGGGAGTATTTTTACCTAAAGCACAAAATGATATGCTTGACGGAGAACTAGACAGCTCCGTCTCAGGTCATGGGCTGTGATGACGCTAGCAGGGAGGCGCGGATGGACTCCGGGTGCAGGCAGACGGCGCTTGCGGTACCGGAACACCGCTGTCCGCGTGCTCGGGCATTGTTAGAAAATATTGGGGAGGGACCGTAGGGCAAGGGCTCATCCGTTGAACTCTGCTCTGGGAGAGGGTGATCAGTTTGTTTTCTTCAGTCATCATTTATCCCTAAGCTCTAAAAACGAGGAGGGCAGTGCTTGCTCATAATCTAGCACCCGAGGCGGCCTGAGCAACAGAGTGAATTCAAGGCCAGTCCGAACTACCAAAAAGAAAAAGAAATCAGCAGCGGATTCGAGTACCTTTACATTTTTTTTCTTCACTTTCAGTTTTTCTTTAACATCAGCACGGATGATCAAGAAGGACTTTATAGTCTCTATTTTCATAAATGCCCGAGCAATGAGTGGCAGTCGAGTGACAAGTTTTCATTCAGCCTTGATGTAAGTATCACGTGGGGACTGTGATACGGGGATTTCGCCAGTGTAAAATCCAAGACATCAGCTTTTCTGTAAGAATGGTTTTCAGCTGGGCATGCTGGTGCATAAACTGCCCATAAAGTCCACACTGGGAGGGCGAGGCAGGAGGATCCCAAATTCAAGCCCGGCCCAGGCAGTTTGGCTGTAGCAGGACCCTGCCTCACCGTGAAAAGGGGCTGGCAATGTGGCTCGATGCAAAGGACCACCAAAAACGTCTCATTTTTGTGATGCCAGGGATTGAACCCAGGGCCTTGTGTGTGCTAGGCCAGCAGCCTACCACTGAGCTACATTTCCATCCGCCCAGCACAGGTTTCAGAAACACCTCGTGGAGAGAAAAGGGGTCAGGGGACCCTCTGTGGTGGGCGGGACGCCGGGCAGAGACCCCAAGTGGAAGGGAGTCCGGAGGGACTGGGCCACATTTCTGCTTCTGCCCGAGAATGGACAGCATGGTGGTCGCCGCGGTGCCGCTGTCCTCAGTGGGCACGAAGCCACTGAGATTCCAGCTCGAGAGAGGGACGTCTGTTCCCGAAGTGAACATCCCCCTCGTTGGTTTCAGATCAAGATCATCGAGAAGAACCCTGACAGCTACCTGTCCGCCGGGGAAATCCCGCTGCCCAAGCTCTACATCTCCATGGCCGCCTTCTTCTTCCTTGCTGGGACCATCTGGATCCACATCCTCAGGAAGCGGCGGTGAGCGGACACCCGGGCCGAGGCTGGTGCATCTCCCCTTTGCCCGGTTCTCCACTGGGAAGGGCCAACCGCTCGGGGCGCCCCATGCCTCTGTGCTGCCGCTGGCTCCTCCGATTGAGCCAGACACCTGCCCGACGTCTGGGGAGGACAGTGCAGGAGAGCCTGTGGCAGCAGACCCCTCCGTGGGCACTCCGGCCCCGCTGCCCGGCTCCGGGCCTCTGGCCCTCCTGGAGGAGGTCCGGGAGAGGAGGGAGCAGAACAGTACGGCCCAGTTAGGGAGCTAAGCGCATGTGAATTGCGTGGTTGCAGTTCAGGAGGTAACTCAGCCCGCGCTCCCTGGAGTGTCAGACACGGGGCCGGCCGTGCTGGCGCTGGCGCTGGTGCTGGCGGGTGCGGTTGCCGGAACCTATGTGTCGGGATGTCCTTTGCACCTGGCAGGTGGGACATCCACGTGGGGACAAGGTTATCAGGCAGTTGTTACACAGGAAGGAAGAATCCCACGCATTCGGGTCATAAAGGATTTTGAGGATTTTTTTTTAAAGAAACTCTTGCTTTTTCCTAGAAAAGTAGGAACCACAGGTCACAAGTGTGTGCTCTGTGATTTTCTGTCTGCCTTGCTTCACAGTGAGCCTTTTTCCTCAGCTGTGAAACTGCGGCAGTAATAATCACCCTGCCTTCCTCCGAGTGCTTTTTTTTTTTCTTTTTCTTGTTTCTCTTTTGATTTGTGGCACTTGGGGTGGAACCAGGGCCTTCACACCAAGCTCCCTCCTCAGTCCCTGCCCCGTTTCGAGCCACAGTCTTGCTAACTTGCCCAGGCTGGGCCTGAGCTTGCAGTCCTCCTGCCTCAGCCTACCAGAGTGTGGGGATTACAGGCATGTGCTGGCACACTTGAGATCCTTAAATCTGTGATTTAAGCTGAGGGAGCTTTGCAAATCAGGGTGCTACACAAACAAAACCGCTTACCCGCCAGGTGTTGGGTGTCATTTTTATTTCCTTGTACTCGGGTCCCCAGTGTGAAATTGTGGCGAGTTTCTAGTGTGTGGTTACATGAGGCTGCTGCATTTTTCTTACGTCCGGTGCTTAGCTTCTTGCTGACATGTGTGTCGTCTCCTCCCAGAACGTTGCAGTGGAAGTGCCGTGCTTTGCAGGAGCCTCAGAGCCCGCTGAGAGACGCGGCCAGCGTCGCCTGTCTGAGCTGGGGCCTGTGGCTGGCTGCCAGGCTCCTTTCAGCTCTGTGTGGCAGCCCAGGGCCCGGGCCCAGGGACTCAGCGGTGGCTCTGGAGTCTGGTGTGTGCTCAGCTCAGCTCAGCTCCTCTCCTGGCAGCACACGGGGTAGGCGGGCACCCCATTTTCAGAAGAGGCTGTGAGGGAGATCAGTGTTGGGGCCCAGGCGGCCCTGGCTTCCACTTCGGCCCATAAGTCAGGGTGGCCCGGATGTGTGGGTGAGGGTGGTTTGCAGGCGGAGTGACTCTCAGGCCATGCAGCAGTGACCGACTGCCCGGCCTTCGCTGCCTTTCCGACCTGCACGTCACGGGTGTGGGAGCAGGATGTACCAGGGAAGTCAGCCCGGAAGGCCAGTGCACGTGGCCCCTCTGACCCTGCCCTTCCTTTCCTGGCCCTCTCCCTCCCATCCCTGCCGGCCACGGGTGCCCCGAGAGCGCTCAGCAGACAGCCTGGGTGTTTGTGGATTCTCGCAGGTGCCTATCAGTGTCACGTGTGCTTTAGATCGATGCGGACCGTGCGGCCTGTAGTGTGCTCTTCCCACCCAGCCGCACCGCGGCACGCGCCCAGCCGGGCCTTGGGAGCAGAGCAGACCGGGAGGGGGGTGCTGGTCACTAAGGTAAAAAAGTCAACTTATAAAATAATAAATTTGATGGAGAGAAAAAAACAATGAAAACACAGAGAAATGTGAGATTTTTGTTAAACTTCAATCAAGGAAAAGCTGCCAAGAAAAGTGACAGAGTCTTCGTGGCCGGAAAGAAGCAGGAAAGGAGGAGAAGAACCGCCACATGTGAACTGGTTGAACCACAGCTGGCGGAGTTGTGTTCTGCAGGTAGTGCTGGTCACGCCTGCCCCAGCCCTCGAGAGTGCCCGTCTGCCCTGTGCGCCCACACTGCGCCCGAGTGTCTGCTCGCCCGCTGGCTTTGCGGCTCTCTGGTGTTGGCCATGCGCCTGTGTCGCTGCCATTTCCTGTCGGGTTTCTGTCCTTGTGTGTGCAGTGCCGGCCCTCCTGCATCCTACCCACTGCCGGCTCCCCCAGGGCTTAGACTCTGCGGCGCTGTAGCGGAATGAGAATCTGACTTTGTTTCTGGGTGGTGCCCTTTGAGCGGGCCTTTCCTGCTCCGAGATCATGGGGTGTGTAGTGCTGCCTGCTGAAACGCGTCCTCATCTCCGGAGAGGCGGAAGATGTCTCCTTTCCTCTGGTCCGGTCCTGTGGGAGCACTGTCCTCTGTCCTCTGTCCTCTGTCCTGTCGGCTCCTCTGCAGGACAGGGACACCGCGCTGCCACCCTGCTCGCTGCTGTGGCATCGTGGATGCTCCTTCCCCGTCACTCGCGCCCTTTGTATACTCCGCGAGTTCTTCTCCACGACGGCCTCGCGAGTCCTGGGAGGTGGGGGCTTGCGGGTGTGGCGGGCCTGCGAGGGAAGCACCGACCACCTCCTGCTCCTTGCGCTGTTCTCCTGCACACGCACACGCACACACACACTCGCCCCTGGCTGCACTGTTTCCACACCTGTCTGCCTCATCCTGCCTCATCCCGTGAGGCTTCCCGGGAGGACACTGTCGTGGTGCAGTTCTCCACCTGGTCGGGACTCAGCTGTTGTTTCTCTGAACCCATCGAGTTCAGTCATCTGTCAGAGACGCCTGAGTCATCTACCTGAGACCACTGCTACTACACAAAGTGCCGGGCATGGGGCACAGCTGTCATCCCCGCACTCAGGAGGCTGAGGCAGGAGGGTCACAAGTTCAAGGCCAGGCCAGGATACATAGTGAGCCAAGGCCGCCCTGCAGTGTGTAGCGGAAGCTTGTCTGTGGATAGGTAAATAAAACCCGCCCATCTGTACCTCCGTCCTTCACATTTGTGGCTTGCGTTTTTGGTGCATCCTGCCCGCTTAGAGACACACCTGGGCTTGGGCCATCCTGGGAACCTTCTGCTGACTCCTCCTCTGCTTTTGTAGGAACGACGTGTTCAAGATCCACTGGCTGATGGCGGCCCTCCCTTTCACCAAGTCCCTCTCCTTGGTGTTCCACGCGGTGAGTATTAGCGTCCTGAGCGTGGCTTGCGCTGTGCCTGTGTGAGTGAGGGGTGACTTAGTCCCCGTCTCGGTAGCATTTTTAAAGGGCAGGTAGCGTAGCGGTAGAACACCTGCCTAACACACAGGCCCTGGGCTCCAGTCCAGAACCGCCAGAACACCAGCCAGAGCAGGGCGGAGCGGAGTTGAGCTTCAGCTATGAGTCTCAAGGACACTTGGAGGCCGTGGGGAGACTGCACGAGGTGTTCATAGGCCGCCCTGGGCTCCCTGCTGCGCTCAAAGGTGACATCAGGGAGAAGCGAGAGGGTCTGGGTACAGAGTCGGGAAGCGACAGTCAGGCCAGGGGGCGTAGCTCAGTGGCGCCGCGCCTGCCTTCCAAGCGCAAGGTCCCGAGTTCGATCCCTGGAACTGGGAAGAAAAAAAAAAACAAACAAAAAAGGACAGTGACTGAGACAGTGAGAGTCTCTTTGGAGTCGCATAGGTAGGGAGTGAGTCACTTCAGCATCTTTTTTCCTGTGGGTACTAGACATTGAACTCGGGGCCTTCGCCCTGACCTCCATCCCCAGCTCTTTTTAGTTTCTACTTTGAGACAGGCTCTGGTTAAGTTGCTCAACTGGGACTCAAACTTGTGACCCTCCCGCCTCTGCCTCAGTGCTGGGACTGTAGGCAAATGCCACCGCGTCTGGCTCCACATAGGATTCAGAGAGAACCGAAGGGTGTGTGTTGCTGTCAGCCTGGGGTTCCACCGGGAGCCATCGGGGGCACTGCTGAACCTTGCCACTTTAGTTAGCAGCACTGGTGGCCTCAAGTGTCTCTAAATGACAAGGGCTTTTTTTAAAAGGAAAAATAGTTGAAGCCAGGTGATTAAACGTAGACTTTTTTCCCCCATGTTGGCTGATTTGTCTGCCCTGTAAGCGGCAGAGGTGTGGAGGATAAAGTTCTTGGCTGGAATGTTGCAAAGACCTTGGGGTGTTGAAACCCGGGAGGTTTTTAAGGAGAGCAAGGCAGCTGCTTGCCAGTGATGATTTGATCCGGGATCCCTGGCTGGGCTGTGGTGGCGGCCTGGCGAGGGGCTGAGGGAGGACTCCTGCCGGGCGCTGCCTGCTCCTCTGTGCACTGGGCAAGGCCCAGTCTGCCCCTCTGACCCGCAGCTGTTGCTTTCAGATCGACTACCACTACATCTCCTCCCAGGGCTTCCCGATCGAGGGCTGGGCCGTGGTGTACTACATCACGCACCTGTAAGTGCGGGCGCGCTGGCCGG